GTTTTTCACACCCCAACCACACCCCACATACACCCTCACACATGCCCCACACGCAATATACAAGAGTAAGACTTTATTTTTGAGCTATGATGCATCTCTGTATACAATATGCAAATGAATGTAAATGAGGACAACAATATTTTTAAAAATAATATTAAAATACATTATAGTAGATGTTTGTTTTTTAGCATATGATTTGTATTTTTTCCAGTTTCAAGATGACAGCCCTCCTCTCCCCCCACCAAAGGAGTACTTCTGGGGTAAGGAGGGGGACTTCTGGTGGCACAGGTCAGCGGTTGGGGTGGGACTTCAAGTCCCAAGGTGACAGCCAGGGGACGGGGCACCTGTCAAGGGGTGTTGCTACCCTTGTGGCCCTCCACAGCTCACCAAAACTCATTAAGCAGCCCTCCAGCTAAAATAATTGCCCACCCCAGCTTTTGTCTCCTTCCCCGCCTTGTCTATTAGGGCTGTATGAAGTTTCAATTCCTGATTCAGTTCAGTGGAGATTCAGCCCAATTCAGTGGCCGAATCTCCAGATCGAATCAAGAGACCCTTTAATCTCTCTGAATCAAATTGGAACCCCCCAAATCAATTTGGAGAGATTTGGAAAGATTTGGCTATTCGGACATAGACATAGCTTTAACTGTTTTTTCTACATACCTCAAGGTATCAGGCAGCTCGTGAATGCTGCGATGGTGGAGCAGATGGAGTGTCCCACAGGAGCATGGGAGGCTTCCCAATGTGCTGGGCAGCAGACATGGAAGTGGACCAGAAGCACTTCTGGTCCACTTCTGGGAGCGTGCAGGGGGCCCCCCCTTCCACGCCTCTTGGCTTCATGAGTAGTGCCTCCTGAGTCTGGGGGGGGGGCACCCAGGGTCCGCCCACGGCTGAATGCCAAGCCAGGGGTGCAGGGAAGCTCCTGCACACTCACCGGCAGACCCAGAAGTGGGTTTACCACTGAGCATGCAGGGTCTCCGCCCCCCCCCCGTGCTCCTGTGGGATGCTCCATCCTCCCCACCATTGCAGTGTTCACAAGCTGCACATGGGACCTCACGGTATGTAGAAAAAACATTTAAAGCTGTGTCTGTGGCCAAATAGCTGATTTCCAAATCGACATCAAATCTTCAGATTTGGATTTGGCCAAATCAAATTGGGGGCAGTAATCTGAATCAACAGATTGAATCACTGTCTCCGATTCAGGCCGAATTTGTATCTGAACCAAATACAGACCTTTTTACGCACCCCGATTGTCTATCTCGTTTGTTTGAATTGTAAGATCTTCACAAGGGGTTGTCTCTCACTTCAGTGTTTATACAGGGCCTGGTGCAATAAAGTCCAGATATCACAGAATCATAGAAGTAGAGTCGGAAGGGACCATGTAGATCTTCAAGTCCGACCCCCCACCTGGCGGGAGAAAAGACTGGATTCAAATGAGTCCAGCCAGGTA